ATTATTCCTAGGAGAGAAAGGAGCATTTAATTTGCTTCCTGTTCAAACATTAATGTTCTACAAGCTGTTTGGGGAGGAAATCTCAGCAAAGAAGTTTGCGGTCCAGGCACTTTATGCTGCCACAATGCTGAACATGCATTCTGGCTCCTACCCTAAAAAATATATTATATTAACTCCCAACAGACATATGGTTTTACAGAAACCGTACAGAAACTAAGAACTACGCAGTCCAGTGTTTTGTGTGTCCTACATTCTACTTTTGGTCAGAATGATCCAAAAATGTCATCTCTTTCTGATGCTGAAATGGTTCTTTGCTACCTGTACCATGTCCCTTTATTAAAATACACTAATGTCATCCCAAAAATCAAGGCTACACATGCATTTAGTGATTTTTCCCATAGTTCTCTATGCAAGAAAACATATTTATTATTCATTTCAAGTATTTCTTATCCCATCCTAAGGTCTCCTTGGAACAAGTCAATTTCTGCATGCAAGTTTATAATCTAAACAGGGACTGCACACAAGGGAAAAAAAGAATGGGGAGGGGAAAAGTAATTGGGCTTTTGGAATACCTTCAAATTTCCCTCAATGCAATCTGCTGAAACAGTTGGTGGTAGTTGTAGCCATAGGGAAACATTTATATATTGCTCTTTCTTCAAGGATCACAATGCCAAGGATCACATGAAGGCTCTCTCTTTTTATCCTCACAACATGGTAGGCATGTTGTGGGTGGAGCCGGCTGGAGCCAGGGGTCAGACTAGATGGCCCGGGAGACCCCTTCTCACTAGCTCTGTTTCTATGTTTCTATGTAACCCTGTAAGGTACTTTAGACTGAGAGGATGGCTGGCCCATGGTCACACAATGTCAGCAGAGATTTGAACTCTGACTTAGTTCATGTATATTGCCCAATAAGCATTAACGTTGGGGAAAGTAGTAGATCTAAGGAGTGATGGGTGAACTTACCCCAAGTGATTGTGTTATTTCCTTAAAAATTTGCCCATGTAAGCTTGGATGCTTTAATCTGAATCTTCATTTTGTTAAAATGAGTTTTTGCCACTCGTTAATATCAACTTGCATCCTGGGAGCTGTAGTTTGGAATCCTGAAACGCGTCACAATGTCATTGACCACCACATTGTGCACACTTCCTGACTGGCTACAAGGACGCAACCTTTCTACAGAACGTTTGCTTGCTGTTGCCAATCCACAAAGGGTGGAGAGGCATTGCAGAGCACCTGTGGAGGTCGTGGCAGCCCATTTGCCGGGCTGTGCAGGGAGCGGCTCTGAATGCTCCCTTCCCACGGAAGAGCTTCTGCAACGCCATCTTCCCCCTTGGCAGGGCAATATATTCATTTGCTTCATTCATATTATATATATATATTGTACTGGAAGACATACTTCACTTCATAATACATTCCTTTTTTTCCCATGTTGAACATCTCAAGGAAGAGGTCTGTTCTACAGAGTTCAACCACTGTTGTGGCTTTCTAAAAGCTGTTTCATAGAAACATAGAAACAGAGCGAGTCAGAAGAGGCCTAAAAACTTTATTCAGGAATATGGCTTCATAATACTTTGAAATGAAGGTTTCTCCTTAGAATAATGGCCATCTTGCAAGGGTATGCATTTATTTATTTATTTATTTATTTATTTATTTATTTATTAATTAATTAAAACATTTCTATGCCGCCCCTTGCCGAAGCCTCTGGGACCTGAAATTCTATCTTGGAGGGCACCAGCTCATAACTTTGGAGAAGCCTTTAGAAAGACACCCACAATGACCCAGAGTACAAGCGAGTCTACTTTTTCACTGGCATTATCAACAGCTGATATTGTTGTTCATCTTCTCTCTCTGCTTGCTTGCTTGACAGGCAGAAAGCCAGGAAGGAAGTAGGCTGGATCATCTGCTGTTTCTCCTCCCCTTTGTCACCACCTGCTCCACCACCCTCTGGGCCACGATGAGGCAGATAAGGAAGCCGTTTGCAGCAATGAAGAGGAGCAGCAGCTACAAGGGGCTCCCATGGGCAGTATGAGCCACGATGTGCATTTATCTGTCTCTCCTGAGCTTCTACTCCTGTGATATGGATGCTCCACTGGCTGTTTAAAAGCTGGGCTCCTGCTGCACATGGGCCTCTGGGGGTGCCAGACTGTGCCTACTCTTGAGCCCCACATGGCTCTTTGGTACTCCTTTTAATACTTTCAGTAGTGTCTCTGGCCATCTCCTTCCTAAGAGGCCTCAAAGCCTTCCCACCTGGAACGGAGAGCAGAATAACCTGAAAAATGTTGCTGTAGCCATTAGATCACCTACCTCCTGGTCAGAATATGCAGGAAGGAGGCAACTCACGTTTCCGTGTGCATGCATCCATTAAACTATCTCCACATCCTGCTTCTCTGTCAAAGGGTTCAATAAAAATTTTAAGACAGAAATAAAGACTATAAATAATAAAACAGGCTCTGACAGCAGCAGCAATAACATGAATAATAAAATCACATCCCATTAAATGCCAGTGAGAATAAAAAGGTCTCCAAAGTTGTAATGTCAGAGTGTTAAAGTTTTTGGCCTTTCAGTTACTGCTATTTGACTTTTTACCATGTTTGTTTATTTCATTTATTTAGCCTGATTCTGTGTTCCCCTATTTTGGGTAGTTTTTTCCTTAAGGAAAAGCAAATGTAATGAAGGGGTTGGGGGATTGGCTGATGAGTTGAAATAGTGAAGAAATTGCAAAGAGAGAAGGCACTGATCTGTGTTCTACCCACCGCCTCGCTTAATGTCCACAAGAGAAGGATGGCCCATTAAGTGCTCCCCCTTTCCCACCTCTGTGACACTTTCCTAGATTTTACAGGCTAAGATCAGCATTTAGAATTGGAAATAAGTTGGCAGTCGATATAGGTTTCCTATGCAGGAGAAGCTGCTCTCTCTAACCAGTTAGCATCTGCCTAGCTGTTACATTTTAAGGCAGCTGAATTTCCCCACCTAGTTTTCATAAGCAGCACCACAGTGTGCCCAGTGTACTGCCCTAGTCTAGGCATTCAAGAGCAGCAGAACAGCTCGATATGCAGGTGCCAGCCAGCGATAATGCTTATCAGAATCCCATGAATAGCTTTTCCCTGCTGCTTCACATGGATAAATTTGCTGTTTACTGCAAAGTTGAAGCCAGGCTGGAGCATTCTCTTTGTGCGTGTGCACACGTGCGTGTGAGAGCATGCGGACATCCATCAACCCTAGCAGTACTTTTTGGGCTGCATGCAGGGGCTTCTGTGAGCAAATCATTGATCAAAGAACATCCCTATCAGGAACCTGCTGGGATAAAGGTAAAGGTTTCCCCTTGATGTTACGTCCAGTCATGCCTGACTCTAGGAAGCGGTTTTCATTTCTATTTCCTAGCAGAGGGAGCTGGCGTTTGTCCACAGACAGTCTCCGTGGTCATGTGGCCAGCATGACTAAACGCCGAAGTGCACAGAACGCTGTTACCTGCCCACCAAAGAGGTACCTTTTTATCTACTTGCATTTGCACGCTTTCGAACTGCAAGGTTGGCAGGAGCTGGGACAGAGTACGGGAGCTTACCCCGTTGTGCAGACTTGAACCAGCGACCTTTCGATCAACCAGCCCAGCAGCACAGCAGTTTAAACCACTGCGCCACCTGCATCCCAGGGATGCTGATGGCTAAAACATCAATCAAAACAGCTTTCCTCAACTTGCTTTCCTCCAGATGTTGTGGACTTCAGCTCCCATGAGTCCCAGTAAGCATGGCCAATGCAAGGAATGATGGGGATTGTGGTCCAGAACAGATGAAGGGTAGAAAACTGGGAAAAGCTAACTTTCAAACCGTCACATGAGAAAATATCTGAAGTCAAAAAGAACGGCTGGGTGAGGAATTAGAAGGGGTGGACCTACTTTGGCTCCCCTCATCAAACAAGTAGATCTTTCCCATATGTCACATTCTTGAAGCTTAGCTGGAATTCAGTTACTCAATATCGATTGGTTTCTTCCAGCCTTGCCCAACCTGGTGCCCTTCTGACATGTTGGACTATAACTCCCATCATCAACAAGCACACATTCATGCTGCCTGAAGTGATGAGGGTTAAATTCCATCACATTTGAAGGATACCAGGTTGGGCAAGGCTGGCTTATTCTATACAGTTTGGTTTGTAGATATAACTTGTTTCATATCTTCTACACGTTTTCAAAAAAATGCTCTCAGCTTTTTCTTACATGATGTTTTCACTATTTAGAGAAATGGTAGATTGCTTAGAGAACTTCTGTTAGCAGATTATTGTCTCAAAGAAATATCCAGTGCTGTTTTCCTGTAGATAGCTTCATGCCATAGTATTAAACTAGAAATAGATGGAGAGGAACCACAAAAAGATATATGGAATAATATTCCCGTAATATCACTTATGGCCTTCCTGTGCTCAGGATGTGGATTCAACTGCTCTTCTGCCTTTTGAACTAGAAGCTGGTGTAGACATAATGGTCAAAGGAGCTTTCTAGACTGGTTTCATTTTACATAAATGCAAAACTTGTAAGCCCCTTGCAACATGGCATCCGCACAACATGAAGGTGGAGCTGGCTTTTGCAAGACCCTTTTGTTCAAACAGTACAAAATGCTGACACAAGAAATAAAAGATTTTGCTGGTAGTTCCATTTCTGATTCTAAAGGTTATGCACATTTCAAGATAGTATAAGAGTTTATAGCTACTCATATTTCCTGAGGTACTGCCAGTGTGCTTAATCACAACTGTTTACCGTATAAATAAAAGACAAATTACATACACAATTCTATCCCTTCTGAATTTTGAAGGGGCAGAAAGGGAGGAATTCTCTCTCCTCCTTTTCATATACAAAAATTGTCCTGGCTATATAAAGCCTTCCTAGGTCCTTTTCCCAAAGTGATAATGATTTGAGTCAAGGACAGATTTAATATGGAAAGTAATAATGTGCTCTTTAGCTGCCTTTGTGACTTCAAAAAACTAAGAGAGGTTGGATTTCTTTCAAGACTTACTGGAAAACAATGACACTCTGCCAGGAGCAGGAGAGCAGGGAATGAGCAGAATCAGTTTGCAGGAATACTGTGGCCACATAGGGAAAAAATGCTGCTCATCATGACTGCAGTCAGAGTAAATCAACAAAAGCAATGGGGTTAGCAAAAAGCAATAAATATGTTCATTGACAACATGCATACTTTATGAAGTTTCCTAACTCTTGAAGAATGGTGCATTCAGCAGATGTCAGGTTATAACTGCGAGGACGATTTGCAGCAGCCTTGGAACATGGCAGTGCCTTTGTTTCCAATCATTGCATTTATCTGTTGGCAAATGGAGAAGTGATTTAACAAGCAAGAAAAATGAATTTCCTCTATTCACTGGCCTGCCAGGACTGAACTGGCTACTCACAGGTGGATAATGAAAGCTTCATGGATGAACCCTGAATATGCTGTGTTGAAAGAGATTCCAAAATACACTCACTAGAAGCCTTGTCCCACAGCTCCTCGGTTTCAGACTAGGCTTTACCGAGCTCACCTAGTAGCTGTGTTCTTGGAACACTTGCCTAGGAAATATGTCATCCTTGATAAACAGGGTTGTTTCTGTCTACTTACTGTGCATGTGTCTTTAATGCACTTTCACATACTCCAAGACTGAGACCTGGAAAGGTATCACAGAAGCCCCTGCTTTGTTAAAACTTGAACATGGCCTTGGGGCCTGACTGCTGTCACAAGGAATTCTACCAGAATGAGTTTCTACAGAAGAAAAAGCTTTTGCCAAGTGTATTATTCCCTATGACACATTGACTAGGCAAAGACAAAATGATAACCTACACTCAAGAGATGAATAGTGGCTGAGTGTGGCTTGTTTCTGAACTTTGGGTTGTTGTTCAACCATGAGTCATTGTGTTGTCTCAACCCAGCCGAGATAAACCATTGTGAAGCAACCCACAGTTCACAATCCAACAATAAACAGTGGGTTCTCTTCAAAGGTTGTTCACGATTAACAATCCATGTCTGCTTTTGTCAACATACTATGACACCAAGTATTACACAAAACAGCTTCACAAATCTCCCTCCCTCTCTCCCTCTCCCTCTCCCTCTCCCTCTCCCTCTCCCTCTGTGTGTGTGTGTGTGTGTGTGTGTGTGTGAGAGAGAGAGAGAGAGAGAGAGAGAGAGGGAGAGAGAGAGAGAGAGAGAGAGAGAGAGGGAGAATGAGCATCACACAGCCTGTTCTTATGCCTTTTAGACGATCCCTTTCTTGGCAAAGATGGAAAATCTTAATGCTTGACCTACCATGTTTGTTCCTAGCTAGAGCCATCAAATCCCAGTTCTGACCATCATTCTTATAAGGATAATATTTTACAACTCAATCATATGCAAGCTTACTCAAATGTAAGTCCCATTTTGCTCAATGGAGCTCACTCCCAAATAAGTGCACGATTGCAATTGTAAACTGCTTAAGAATAAAAAATGTTGAGATATATTAAAAGGAAAACATTTCATGGAATTTAAAACTTGACCTCTACAGTAGCTTGAAGTAATGACCACACTGTCTTTTTTTTAGATTGGCCTATGTTACTTCTCCATGTTGATTCTAGAATATAATTGGTATTATACGACTGGACTGCAGCATTACCCTGGACCTGACATTAGATTAGCACTTTAACCAAATGCTAATTAAATAGTTGTGGTGAGTTTTTCCATAGGATAGGATAAGATGATGCCAAGAAGATGAGAAAACTGTTCTTGTTATGTACAATCTTGCTATAAATGCAGTTTATTTTCTCACTTACTTAAAAGATAATTTGGAAACTTTGATGTGAGAATACTCTCCTAAGTTTCATTCTATGATTGGAATTTCTTTCTGACTTTAAGCTGCCCTCAGTATCATGCAACATATTGTTGAAAATTAGGAATACTTGGATACTTTTAAAATAATGAAGTCTCATGAAGACGTTATGCACACAATGCAGGTGTAGCAAAGATATATTTTGGAAAGCTTAGTTCAGGAACTTACTACATCATCAAAGAACTACATCTCTTAAACCAGATACAAATTCTGTTTTCATTATACAGACTAGACTAGCATGCAGCCATTCCATAGCAATAAAAGAATCCTCCTTAAAGAAATTGTCAGCATCCCCAGTAAAAGAAAAAAAAATCAGAGAAATAGAACTTGAAGAGTAGAAGGAAGAGCAAATGTATTTGCAAACATTATTCTTTTTGAAGAGGATCAGTGCAAAGGCAAATGAGATAAATGGAGTACCAGAACCTATATGCAAAGTCAGATTTCCTTTCAAGAAAGAGAAACCTCTTACAGGTTCTGTGAACATGCTTCTGGGTAATATGCAAATCTTTAGAGAAGTGCGGCACAAATACTGGCAGCTAATAAATTGAATTATTAGACAATGCTAATAAAAATCAAATACATTGAGTGCAACAAAAGCACTTCATTTTGTAAGCTTTCAACACTGAAAGAAAATGTTTTATAAAAAGGCTCAGATCCTTCCTTGGCATCCATGAATGGAGAAATCCCTTCTTTTAACATATAGGACCAAGATCCATGAAGAATCCCACTGGTAGAATTCTTACAGTGGGCCCTTCTTCTGGTGTATGTGCACGCATGCACATGTGCATGCACACAGAGTGCAGTCTAGAGGTTCCCCACCTAGGGAACAGCCTTCAGGGGGACATGGCAGAATTGGTGAAGGTCACTGCCCTCTGCCATCTGGAGATGGGAGAACTTGGCTCCAGAAATGATCCTGCCAATCGGAGCAAATTGAGATCCTGGCAAATTCAGGGTCTCTTTTTTTCCTATTTTATTGTTTTATTTTCCTAATGAAGAAAATCTGCTATATCCCTGGATTCTGTTTTTAATTATACCCAGTGTCACTGTGTGGTTGTTTAATGGAACATACAAATGGCAGAGAAAGGAAAAGCCCAGAGAGAATCCTGTGCAACAGAGCTGATCTTAATCCCACCAAGAATCTGGGAACAGGAGCCTTGGTAAAGTGGCGGGTTGAAAGCCTTGCGTAGAAAATCTGTTACATGAGGAGGAGGATTTTGACTTTCCTCCATGCTCACTGCAGGAAAGAGCAATGGGCCCACAGGCGTAGGCCATAATCTCTAGCTCATGAGCTTTCTTTTCTTAACGCATAACTTGTCCTTGAATGACATGAGATATGAGGCAAGATGTGCAGCTCCATTCTGCCTTATCCCTTTTGTAAGAAACGAACCTGAACACACCTTTTACCTTTTTTAGCCAATGACTGGGGTCATAGCAATGATTAACACACCCACTATCTGGGTGCATTAACCCTTTTCTGAGCCTTGTTAGAAAGTATTTGCAGTCTCATAAAAACAATTTAGAAACATGGGACTTTCTCATAGTTAGGTTTGAGCATTGATGTGCCTACTGAACCAAGCCAAGCCAAGCCAGACCAAATAGAACAAGAAAAACGAAGCAGCAGCAAAGGCAGGAGATCATGATCTTTCTATCTCAGACCACATTAATGTATTTTTCTGAATTTATACATCTTTTCTTAAAAAATACCTAGACAATGTGTGCAGCAAATAAGGTTCATCACGATTATACTCATATTACAGGAGGCAGGACTGTGACTAGAGTTCACAACCCCTACAAAGTAGTCCCGAGATGTAATGCCTGTTTTGCAGAGGAGCAATTGTGTTGGAGTAATGCACGACAACTCTGTGGTGTAGTCCAGTGTTCTTAGTGTTTAGGAAAATATAGATGTGGCTGTACAATCCATTGTAGCAGCCATGCACTTTACTAAGATTAGAATGAACTACTGTAATAAATAATAGGTATATGTAAAATCTTTAAAGAACCTACCAGTTTTAGCTGTTGCAGGAGATCCAAATGGAACTTATCTCCATTTTTCATTTTGTCTTGCTTCCATAGAAGTTACCTATCGTGCATTGCCTATGCAGTACAGCCTAGTGGTAGCTGCAGCTGAATGGTCACCTTCCCCCCACCCCACCCCAATATTCCTTTGACTCAAAGGGCCTTTACAAGGGAGGAGGTGTTCATGGCTGAAACTGGGTTTCAGTTATGGGTGGAAAGCTATTGTCTGGACATCAGGTGTACCAGCTGGAAAAACAGAAAAGTTTCCTTAGTAAACACTTTCCTCAGAAGCTGGACTACCCATCTGGATAGGTCTGTTAACCAGATCTTATAGCTGCTCGATCACCAGACATACCAGAATTATTCTATCAGGGCTTTGATAAAATGTGCAACCTATATACAGGAAGTGAAATTGCAAAAGATGTGGATGTTGTTCAAAATTCAAGCCATGCAAAAATTGCATTGCTAACTGATACAAAAAGTGTCTGGTAACACCATGAAGAGTAAGGCCAGTAGTCCAGGCTTTTCTGTAATCCTAAAATGCAATCAAGTATATTCATTTCTCCCTTCAGGAGACTCTACAACCAGCCTCAGCCAGGATGGCCAATGCTCCAGAATGTTGGGGTTGCAATCCAGAACATCTGGAAGGCAGCATTTTGGGCAAGACCATGCCAGAGAATATTCACAAATGTCTCGTAGAAGATGGAAATCATTCTATAGTGAGTCATGTGGACTAGTTAATGTTATGATAAAGGCAGTAATGCCAGAAAATACAGGAGATTCTTAAGACTGCTTGACCGTGCATTAGGTTAATTTTCTCTCTCTTTTCTCTTTGTACAATTGTATCTTTCATGCCTCACCCCAAATCAGATTTGAATAAAACAGTCTGCTGCTCTTCAGTTCCTAAGGCCTTCTACTACTTTATCATGGCGTCTAAATGTCATGACATGTGACAGTAAGCAAAAAATGAGCACACTAGAAAAGAGCACAGGTGTCTTGTTCATGAATTACAATCACAAACTGCTGTGCAGCTTTGCCACTTCCCCTACCTGGAAAATTCCTACAGACACCAATGATCTCAACCAATATATTTTAATGGCCCAAGTAGCAATCAAGCAACATAGCAAATGTGGCTTCATTAAAATATTACATATTTATTTTTGTTAAACTCAGCCAAATAGAACATAAGTTGAATTTATTCTATAGGAAAAATTACACATGAATCTAGATCTTTCCCATAGGCATCCACAGGGCAGAAAAGTCTGCATGTCTATACAATATGTCACAGCCTCCCTGTGAGAGAACCCAGATGTCATTGTACTCCCATTATCATTTTAGACAGGAAAAGCCATGCAGCCCCAAAACATGTACGCCCTTCAGTACAGAGTATAATAAAATTAAAGCCCACCTACCTTTACAGATCCAGAACCTTGCAACAGATGTAGAAAAGATACAATTATGTTTATAGTTGTCCACAGCCTATACATCCTTGTGTTTAATATCCACACCTTGCTATACCATTGATATCATATAGCTGGGGAAGAAACTGTTTCAAAATACATTTCTCTAAGAAGTGCTTTTTTCAAATGCACAATCAGAATTTTACCCTATGCTGTAAACTTGAAGAATATATAAGAGAAGTAAACAACGGCACCAGCTGTTTCTTTAAAAAAATTGACTAGCACTCATTTAAGAAGTGTTCTTTCTTTCCTGCTGATGCTCTTTAGAAAAAAATATGCTTTTTCAAAATATGTTTAATATGACTTTTGAGTTAATATTTCCAGAAGCAAGATAATAAGATTCTAGTTCACAAGCTCAATCCATCTCCTATCTAAATGCAAAGATAAACTCAATATTCATTTGTGGTCCAGGAAAAGTTAAAATCTGCTGAAGTTTTTTGGAGTTCCATGTTAGCTTCCTTTTAAGACAGCAGCAGAACAGCCAATGTTTTGAGCTGGAGAGAGCTGTAATTCAACTCTGTGTTGAAACTTTTTTCACAGCCTCCATGGAAGCCAGTAGAAGCCTGCAACTTAAATCTGATACAGACACTGGTAGAAAACACAGTCACATTTTGGCTGTTATCCCATTTTGTCCCTGCCAATGGTGTAGCAGTTGCCGAACTGACTGACGAGATGTGGAATACCATTACTTTAAAGGACAATTACCTGAAACATGAAACTTCAGCACATAATCTTGAATAGTATCGCACACTATCAGTAGTTCTTCCAACCTTGTAGTATGTAGCCTGCGCACTGTAACTTTTTGCTCCTGTTTCAAGACTTATTAAAACTATGTTTTTACAAACAAAGGCTATGAGATTGTGTATTTAAAGTTAGTGTATTTTTGCTAACAAAGTAACAAAAAACCATCTATATATTTGTTTCACAATGTGCTCATCTAAAGCACTGCTAAAAGTTAAAAGCTTTGTTCTATGCATATTGCAGATACCTTATTTGGGTTCCATCAGATGCACTCGTCTGACTCCACTGAAAGAATGAGGTAATTCACGAATGAGGACAAAAACTACTGAAGTATATACAACTGCTAATATGAAAAGCTGAACAGTTTCACTTCTGACGCCTCAGGTCATTAGTTCCCAATCTTAGATTTCCAAGTGGTAGCTCTCTCGAATCCATTCCTTGCATTCCTGAAGTCATCAATGGCTTGTTGAATTTCCTCCTGAGTATTCATCACAAAGGGACCTAGGATAAGTCATGCATACTTAAATTACAGGAGCAATTTAACATCTGCATTAGTATAGTATTTTGAACTATAGGCTTTCTGCAGCTAGATTCAAGCTTCATTATATTTGTGCCCTCCCCTCTCCTGCTTTTCTTTATATTCTTTTGTCCTCCAAATATATTTCCAAGGCTCGGCTGTACTGAGAGCTGAAATCTCAATGCATAACCTTACTAGCACAATGACTCATACTACAGAAATTTCAGTCCATTATAGCTAGTAGGCAGAGTAAAATAAATTGTTTGCTGCCAAAGCAAAACAGGGTTTTGTTTTGAACCTATCTGCCTAACATTTCATTAACTGTAAGAATGTTTGTTTGTTGCCCACTTAAGGAGGCAAGTCTATGGATGTTTAGGCAGAAAAAAGTCTTACAACTCCCAGGCATTCCCCATTCAGCACTATAACTTTTGGTTTAAATATCATAGGACTGCACCCTAACTGCATTTAGCACTGAGATACCTGACTAAAGGTTAATCTAGATGTTGAAGACAATATTATCTGTTTGTAAAATGAGATCTAAAGCCAGGTTCTCCAAGACTTAATCAATGCTTCATATCTCATATTATAACAAGTGATCAGTTATAGGAGCAGTGGGCTTTGCGAGGGAAGGGGGGGAAGGGACTCCTGTATCACTATCTGTGAAGGCAGGCAACCCAATGCCCTTGCACTATAGCTCCTATAAGTGCTTTTTTTGTAAAAAAAAAAAAAAAAAAAAAAAGGTGCCAGAACTCACATTGGCAGTAAGCACACACACCAATCCCAAGCCGAGCAGCAGAGCAGCATCCAGAGAAGCTATCTCTCACTATCAGATAGCAGATCACAGACACAAAAGCAGCCTGCAGGCGCTATGTTAATGATGTTTGCTGCTGATCTGCTACGCCAAAATCACTTCCTAAAATCCATTGGAAAAAAGGTGCTGGAATGCCGTTCCGGTGCGTTCGATGACAAAAAAAAGCCCTGGCTCCTATACATTCCAGCCATCGTGTGCCCTGGAAGCTGGGAGTTACAGTCCAAAATATCTGGAGGATACATAGTTGCCTACGATGCATTTTGAAGATGAAAAGATATCCTATAACCCAACGCCAGGGATCTGATGAACTAATATTTACCATACTGAACCACCGGTTCCTTAAGTGGCTCACCAGCCACTAATACAAAGTGGCTTACCTCAGGATCCTAAATGAAAGAAAATAAGCATAAGCAATAGCATATATTTATTTATATGCACTTCCATATCCCTCCCTTGCAATGGCCAAAGGTAATTTGAGCTTGAATACACAGATCAGGAACAATTCAAAACAAGTTTTCCCTAGAATCAAAAATTAAAAAATGGAGGCTGTCATATTTTGGACACACCAGGAAAAGGCAAGACTCTCTGGAGAAGACAATCATGCTAAGTGAAAGAAGAATGAAAGGAAAACCAAAAGGAACACCAAATATGAGATAGATTGACTCCATAAAGGAAGTTTTACAAGAGCTGAACAAGACTGTTGTTGACAGGATATTTTGCAGGGCTTTCATTCATAAGGGCACCATGAGTCAGAGAGGACTTGACGGCACATAGCCACAACCACTGGAGCCCTACTTTGGCACCCCAGTCATGGGCCAAATAGTGTGTGCCCCCAACATTGGGAGAGAAACACCTTACAAGACAGACACCCCATGTTTGTCTTGGAAGGTGTAGTCTGCTCAGCGTTGCTACTGTAACCAAGAACGTCAAAGCCACTACTGGGACTCTATGCCTAAGCCATGATCTCAATCCAGATCTAAAGAGAATGCTATGGACCATTTGCAAGTTGCCATTAAATATGCAGTTAATTTAAAAATATAAACAATTCTGCTCATAGAACTTGGTGAGTGTCAACTGCCAAACACAATAGACCACCCTGCCTCCAGTGACAATAGTTTTTACAGTTAACTAAAGCAGTTATATTTTACCCCTGGTGGGACTACATGTGCTCATAAATTCCTAAACAGCACATACAACTTTAGGTGCAATACTGAATGAATGAATGAATGAATGAATGAATGAATGAATGTTTGTCAATGCTTGATTCACAGCATCTTTCTTCCCTCAAAAAGACTGGAAGACAAAGGGACTACTGTGGACATGATCTATCTCATCTTTAGTAAAACGTTTGACATAGTATTCCACAGAACCCTGATAAACAAATTATCAAAAAGTGGACTTGACAGAAAAACTTAGGTGGATCCCAAACTGGCTGCTAAACTGGACACAAAGAGAGTTTATCAATGGCACCTTCTCAAACTGGAGGCATGTAACTAGTGGGGTTCTACAGGGTTCTAAGCCCAGTGCTCTTCAACATCTTTATTAATGATTTGGATGAGTAAGTACAAGGAACAATAATTAAATTTGCAGAAGATACAAAACTGAATGGAATAGCAAACAATCCAGAGGACAAATTAAGATGCAGGGCAATCCTGATAAACTTGAACACTGGACTGAAAGCAACAGAATGAGATTCAGTAAGGACAAGTGCCGAGTCCTCCACCTAGAAGAAGAAACCACATGCATTGATACAAGATGGGGAATATGTGGCTCAACAGGACTGAAAAGGAAAAGATCTTGGAGTTATTGAGAACAGGCTAAATATGAGCCAACAATGTGATGCAGTCTTAAAAAGGGCAAATGCTATTTTGGGATGCATTATAGAAGTAAGGTAAAGGTTTCCCCTTGACGTTACGTCCAGTCATGCCTGACTCTAGGGGGCGGTGCTCATCTCCGTTTCCTAGCTGAGGGAGCCAGCGTTTGTCTGCAGACAGTCTCCGTGGTCATGTGGCCGGCATGACTAAACACCGAAGTGCACAGAATTATAGAAGTATTACTTCCAAATCATGCAAAGTAGTAGTTCCTCTATATTCCTCACTAGTCAGACCTCATCTAGAATACTGTGTCTAGTTTTGGCACCAAGACTTAAGAAAGATGTAGAAGGATTAGAAAGGGTCCAGAGGAGGGAAACAAAAATGATCCAGGTTTGGAAATACTGCCCTATGAAGGGAGACTGAGAGAACAGGGTATGTTCAACCTTGAGAAGTCTGAGGGGAAACATGATATCCCTCTTTAAGTACCCCAAAGGCTGTCACAAACATGAATGTCAAGATCTCTTCTCACTGATACCAGAGAGTAGGTCACAGAATAATCAATTCAAGTTGCAACAACCCAGATTCAGGCTAGATATTTCCTCACTTTCAGAGCAATACAGCAGTGGAAACAGTTGTGGGCTCTCCAATACTGGAGACATTGAAAAAGAAACTGGACAGCCATCTGAGTGGGATGGTGTAAACTGGTGTCCTGCAACAGCAGTGGGTTGGCCCCACTGGCCTTCTAGGACCCTTCCAACTCTACTATTCCATGATTCTATGATTTGTAACTGTGCTTGGGCAAGCACACTTAAGATATGCAGAGTGTCTTTACATCCACAAAATTATCTTCTGGTGTTATGGCATGTCATGGCCATAACAAATTCTGAAGTGGGCATGTTTGAATCTAATATGATCCAAACATTTTTTATGCTCGCTCGCTCGCTCTCTCTCTGTGTTGGCACGGGCTACAGCCTTATGTTCCAAGAAAGTTTTGCAATAATATGCAATGTGCATCTTTAAAACAAAGGGTTTTGATGCATTTGTTTCCTTCCTAATATCCCAACATTCCCACAAGATCCATTTTCTAGGAAAAGCAAGAGAAAAAAGTGACAAACATGATTTCTCCCCCCCTAAAAAATCAACTATGTCTTCATACTTCAGAAAATAAATCACTCTTACAAGCTAGAATGTAACATATTTCCTACCACAAATATTTAGCATGGGAGGGAAAAATAGATTCAACAGAAATGAAAATTGGTCAACCTTCACCCTCTTCCCAACATGGATTGTGCTATATAACTTGATATATACTCAAATAATGCTACTTTGAAGAGATTGCTTTTATTAATGATTTCAACAGATTTAAAGGAATATCATTAACTGATGGGAGAGAACACAGAAAAATACCTCATGCAGAGTCTCTTTGTTTTATACAGTCCTATTACTGTTAAGAATGGAGGCTCTCTGGGCAACTGAAATTAGAATTGTACTGTGAATTGTACTGTGATTAGAATTGTACTGTGATTTTCAGCCTTCATTCATGAGGCACTGGACTACACCTCCCATCATATCCTGCCTCCAAGTTCAATGGCCATGTGCATGAAGGTCCGATAACACCTGGGGATACTACGTTGGGCTTCAGCCTGAAAATGGCTCTCCAGGTTCCAAGTGGAGCTTTTCCCAGCCCTACTTGGAGATTTCAGGAAACAAATCTCAAGCAAGTGATCTTCCACTGAGTTTCAGCTGATGCTTAGCCAGTGGAAAACAAAGTTCCACAATAAAAAATAAGAACATGCCGATCCAGCCCAAATTTCATGCTCATTCAACATGCCTATGCCCATGCTACAGGCATACAAATGTAATTGGTTTTTTTATTTATTAAAAACTTTTGTATGCCGTCCTATTATACCAAAATCTCAGGACAGCTTACAGTATTTAAAAGAACAGTTAAAACACCAATTCTAATAAATACATTGAGACTGAACAAAACAACAAACCACCAAACAAACAAGAGTGACTTAGGTTAAAAACTGTTAATTTTAAAATACTGTTTGAAAAAATTGTTGTGCTACTTCTTCATAAGAACATAAGAAACAGTGGTCCATCTATTTCAGTATCCTGTCCATACAGTGGACAAGCACCTACCCATAGGTCACCTCAAGGGCAACATGATTACAACACCTTCTTGCCCATGTTTCCCAGCAACTGGGACACTGTATCTGTTACTGGAGGTAGCATACACCGATCAGGGCTAGTAGCCATTGATAACTTCTCCTCCATGAATTTGTCTAATCCCCTTTTAAAGCCATCCAAATTGATGGCCATCACCGAATGCCATAGTGTATCTGTTAGCTGCGTGAAGAAGTACTTCCTTTTCTCTATCTTGAATCACACACCAATCAGTTTCATGGGATCACCCCAGATTCTAGATTTTCTCTAGAAAAGTAGAAAAATGTTTCCCTCGCCACTTGCTTTACAGCATGCATAATTATGGACACTTTTGCTCTTGTGTCTGCCAGTGCCACATCCGGGTGACACTATCTTCAAAGGGGAAAATCAGGCCAGGGGTCAGGCTGAGGAATTCTCTGTGCTGAGAGTGCAGGCCAGGCTGGGGCATCTAAGAGAGTGGTCCAGGGAGATAGTGGAATATCAAGGAACGGGTGACATCCGAGAAGGATAGCAGTGGGATGAACTGCCATTGTCTGCGATGAAGCACAGACTCCGGCAGGGCTAATTTATAGCTGGCTGTAAATCAGCACAGCTAGGTCAGCATGTAGCTTTTAAAGGAGGCCCCATGCTCTGCCTTCTGTTTGGACTTCTGCTGCCTGCATGTGATCCTTCTCCTTTCTGTGGGATGTCCTTCGTCAAGCTCTGTCTCCTGCCCTTGGGCAAATTCCAGGAAGAGTCCAGAAGGGCCCAGGCTGCTCTTTCAAAGGAAGGTTCCCAGCTGTCAGGCTCTAGGTGGGCCCTCTGTGCTGGCTTTCCCCCTACTCTTCCACTTCTCTTTCTTTTGATGAATCCTCCCGGTAGGGCATGGCAATACCTCTGTCATCTCTCCCCTTGCTAACCTTTCCTCTAAGATAAACAATCCCAGCTGCTGTAACCTTTCCTCATAGCCCGTTTCCCAATTCTGCAACATCCTCTTTATATGCTCCCAGGTTTGTGCATGCTGTGGGCAGAGACCTTCAGGTATGGGGTAGGATAGAAGAGCAACAACAATGATGTCCCCTTGGAATGAGCATAACTGCTTTTTCAGGGGTAACTCCTACAGTACAGTTGTCTACTGCAGACAGCTGTGCACCACAGCTGGACTACAAGGGGCTGCCACATGCTCACGTGCGATCTGCCATTCTCAGATCACTTTGTGGTGGACTGCAGCACCGTTTTGTGCCACAGTGCCACATTCGTGGCAATCAGGGACAGTAAGTAAGTATAGGTCACTGTTAGTGCTAGAAAAATGCTTTCTATCTTGGCCTGGTTCTATAACGAAGGCCTCCTGAGAGCCACTGCTATTTTCTGAGTCATTAAGAAAAAAGCAGAATACAGCTAAGTGAAGCCTATGCAATCCAAGCCACTGACTCAAGCAGTTCCACTCTGGGAGTCAATGGGTTATTGCACAGGAATCACTTTCCTAGCATGTCAACTAAGCAACTGCACTTCACATGCAAAGGCAGAGCAGTGCGATGACTGGCCACGAAGGGCCACTGTTCATAAAGAGATTGTCACTTTTTGTATCCTGCAGGGATGTAGGTGCCCCACTGGATACTGCCCTGCATTTCTTCTGCAAAAGGCTAATATGGCTTTCCCTCTGGAGAATCAAAAACTTGGTGTAAAAAGAATTTTGATGGCAGAAGACAGATTCGACAACAGTTCTTTAACCACTGTACTAACCACTTTGTTTTCCAGAGATAGTTGCTTACTCAGTATGGGTTCTCTCCACTTAATAACTGTTAATTACTTACTACCAGAAACATTCAGCAAAACACAGAACCAAAAAAGTTGCTGAGGCAAAGACATCAATTGCAAATACCTTGTTCTCGACCCGAACACAGTCCTCATCATCCAACACAGCAGTGTGGTGGGGCTCTGCCTTCTTTTGAGCACCAGCAGGACCTTTGAAAATAAAATATTTTAAGAGGCAATTTGTTTAATAAACCCAATAGTTATAAGCTATTATACATCAGACTGCTTCTATAATCTATATAATCACTTAAACTCTCCTTGAAAATATCTGGTACAGTCATAGAATAACTGTACACCCATGCTCACTCATGAGATGGACTTTCACAATGTCTAGTGGGAATGTTATGAATGTCCCTGCTATGTCTTTGCCCTCTAGAGAGCCAGCATCACTGAACAGCACGTGGAAAGGAAATAGAGCAGTGTAGGCAGGAAATCCCCAAAGAGTTTTAAAAATGGCTATTCTTAACCACTGCCATTGGACTAAAATATGGCAATTCATGCATGGTCGCCATAGTCCCTTGCAAGACACCCAAACTGGAAGTACCGAACTCACAGGTTTTTCTACTTTATGCATGAACCGGACTTTGGACTTAATGGGTATTTGGACTTTAGACTCTCTCATTCTGGATATGCAGAGCAAGCAAGTCAAGAATGTGGCTCAAGGCCCTAGAGACAAGGGATAGACACCAGGGTATAAAGGAGGTGGTGCTGGGAAAGGATCATGAGAAGCTATCCTGAAAGCCAGGGGAACCCAAAGGTATTCTTAGACCCACAGGAGGAAAGGATCCCCAAGCAAAAGAAAGATATAATGCTTGCCCCAAGTACAGTTACAAGTTACAAAACGAAGTGCAAAAGAGCTCAGTGGCTCTGAGGTGCAACTCGGGATGGGACCTAACGTAAGAATGACTGTTTGACTCTGAGGAATGAAAATAAAGCTCAGGGAGGTTTCTTGTTATTTGACCGAGCTAACACTAGGTAGCAGCTCAATATGCTGCACGCGATCTGTCCAGTAGAAGATAATTAGCTGCTGATATACAAAGTAAGAACTATCATGCAGGTTGCCCAGGTGGTATCGAACCCTGTTGACCTATTTCAGGAGAGGGAACCCTTCAAGATTAGGCACATTTCCCACACAGGCAGCTGAAAGTACTGTAATGCACTAGACAGCTGGCCAGTGATCTGGCACAGTCCCATACTTCTGTGGGACCAACATCCTCTAATATAATGAAGCACGTCTGTAATTGTCCGGCCATCCAGGTCCTTCTTGTGCTGGGCCGCATTCTTCGCCCACACCTGTGCCGCTGCTTCCAGAATGAAACGGCTCCTTGAGACAAGATCTTGGTGGGATGTCAACAAAGCAAATAGCATCCGCCTTTGCAGACACAGGCAAGTATCTAATAACCTAAAATTCAATAAATTTACCAATATACATGTTGCCAGCAAGGGTGTAAATAAACGCTGTCCAACCTAAAATAAAAAATAAAGAGCTTTTTAGAGAAGAACTTTGCATGCAGCAGACAACATTAGATTATGTTATAGTATGTCAAGGTATATGTGTCGTTACAGCAATGCTTTAAAGTTTTGCATTTGCAACGGCTATGACACACAGAGGCATTCTATAACTTAGAACAGTGATAGAGTAGAATTAATCAGAAGACAAAGGCCTGTTCGTAAACATAATTAAACACATTGCCAGCCTGCTGCAATATCTGTATCAGTCTGTTCCTTAGGCAAGCCAGCATCTGTCTAATCTATGTAAAATGGGCATAACAGTACTGAACTACGTCGCTGGGCATTCTTAAAAGTGCATCCAATAAAAAGCCACAAGCACTCTATAAAATTAAAATGCTATATTAATCATGCTAAGTATTCCAAAAGTGTTGTTTCACCATTACAAATGCCATCTAAAAATATAATCTATCATAATGATTAGGCATCTAATGAAAGAATACTCTTCCCCACTAAGGTTTCAAGGTGCTGAAAATTGTTCTTGTAGAATTTCACGTCGATTCAACAAGGCTATATGGCTCCCTGACTTTGGGTTTTAACCGGTTATTGTCTGTTTTAGTTCCCACTGTGTATATTCTAGAAGGAAGAAAATTAATCTGAGTTTTTTTCCATTCATAGTTATTGTTTAATGATAACATGGATGATTATTTTAATGTAGCTAAGTTTTTTAAAATGCGTACTTTGGCAGGAAAATGCAACCCATGCCTATAGGCTAGTTCCTATAGGTTGTTCAGCTCTTCATCCCCATCATGTGCCAACTAAGCCATGACTGAGTTGTTTGGGAGTATGGAAGGAGAGAAATGTAGGGGAGACTATTTAGAAGAAAAACAGTGTCCCAAAGTTCTTTTGTTGCCTATTCACAAGGCAACCATTCTTAATGGTATTACTGCAAGATTTTTATTTAATAGACAGATAGACAGATAGATAGATTTAAACATTTATACACCATTGTGTAGTAAAAATTCTTCATTTTATGGTTTTAACATACATCAAGATAACTCAGAGCTGAGGCAACATATATTGCTAGTTTCCCTTTGAAAGCATTCTATTCCATGTTTGGTAGTTTCTTTCTTTAAGCCTAGTACTAATACATCTTTTACTCAGATGTCAATGGTGAGAATCACCACTGCTTTTGAAAAAAATTACTTGGCAGCATCAGGATGCAGTTTCCAGAATGCAGACTGGACACCTCTTTGATAGTGACCTGATAAACATTGTTTATTTGGACTTCAAAAAGGCTTTTGAGAAAGTCCCTCACCAAAGACTCCTGAAGAGTGATGGAAAGGGAAGGGAGGTCCTCTCATGGATCAGTAATTGATTAAAGACTAAATTGTATTTTTCTCAATAAAGGGAGGTAAACAGTGGCCTCCCACAAGGATCAGTATAAGAACCGATGCTTTTCAATTTATTGGTAAATGATGAAGAGTTCGGAGTGAGCACTGAACCGGCCAGGTTTGCTGATGATGCCACACTATTTAGGAAGGTTAAAACCAAAAGGGATTGTGAGGAGCTCCTGAGGGATCTCTCCAAACTGGGAAAATGGGGAGCAAAAGGGCAAATGTCATTCAATGAAACAAATGTCAAGTAATGTAAGCAAAAATTTCCAGCTTTACTGACTGATGGGATCTGAGTTTGCAGTGATTGATGAAACTTGGGACTGCGGTGGGCATCTCCATGGGCACTGAGCCAGTGTGTGCCTACTGCAAAAAAGGCAAACTCCACATTAGGTGTTATTAGGAAAGGCAATGAAAATTAAATTGCCAAAGTCATATATTTGTATGATTGTATACAGGCATACAAATATATGATGCCAACACAGAATATTTCCACATATAAAAAGCAATATTGTGGAGATGGAAAAAGTGCAGAAAAGGGCAAGTAAAATGATCAATGACTCCCCTACAGGGAAAGATTCCAACAGCTGAGACTGAATAGCTTAGAAAAAAAGGTAAGAAAAGACATGATAGAGATATACAAAATGATGTATGGAGGGAAGAGAGTAGAGATGGAAGCATTTTTTCCGGCATGTTGAACTGGAAAGACCACTGGTCTGATCTCGCATGGCAATTTGCCATTAAGATGCTACTTTGCGAGACAGAATCAAAAACTCCTAAGCATAACTCATTTTGAAATCTGAGGATAAAAAGTGCTGCATGCTAACGGAGCAACCCTTTGTGATACTCTTCTGTGTGTTGCAATTTTGTTGCTAAGAAATATTATCTTGCTGCAGATAGAGAAAATTTAGTTTACAATTTAGTGCATGGGTTTCAACCACATCAATGTCTTTGCAAGCCGACATCCTCCCCATTCTCTGGGCATCTCTCCCAGAATAAGCCAAATTCCTTCACTTGGAAAGTTCTGACATGGGAAGCACCAGATAAAAGACCACTATTTTCCTCAAACAGACACATATACAAAGATACCCTAAAAATAAAACTAGAATTGAATAGTTATATACTTAAGAGTGCTTTACAGCTCACAAAGTAACCCCAAATGAATTCTGTGACACATGGGAGGTGAAATAGGTGCTGCAGCCTCTGAACTTCAGGGAATGGGAGCTTACGTAGCCGATCGCCCACATACCAGAGGGAGAGGTCCACAACAGGCTCTATCACAAGCCCCAGCTTTGCCAAAATTCGGATAAAGATCCCAAGAAAACAAAACACCAGTGCAAAACACCGGTGCACAGGACTCCTCGTGGGCATCACCATCAGAAACACCTGTTTCTGTTGACAACGGAAACTTATATAATGGAAAACACCTTTTGGTTTCCTCAGTCTACATCAGCAATTCATTCCCTGATTGCGTCTTCTCTCAGTCATTACTCACATAGTTGCTCTTACTCCCTCAAACATTACTTTCCATCTATCCTCCACCTGTTCTCACACACACACACCCATGTAAAAAGGTGCCACGTGGCATTCAATGGCCCATGCATTTTCTTATCTGTGGATTGAACAGCATTGCGTCTACATCAGCCCTTTATGTATACTTAGGAAATAACTTATTACACCTTGAATCCAGATTGCAAAATACAGATTTCTAACCTGTGAGCAAGCCCTTTATTCCCTTTTTATAAAGTGCCTAGTGATTTAAGGTGCAATGAACAAATGGTGCCCAAGAATATTGTAATTATTGCATTCTTAAAAGGGTTTTAGTCAGAAAAATACATGACTGATAAAAGAATGGTGGAAGTTGTAGGACTTTTTGCTGGAATGCTGGAAATTGTAGGACGTTTTGCTGTCTAAACATGCATAGGATTGCATTAGATAAAAGGATACCAGATTGTACTATCGCCACAATCCAGCACAGCTAATGCTGTGTTGGATTGTAGCCATGACTCCAAGGCTCTTATATATGAAGTCTAAATTGAAGATCTTTTAAAAATTGTATGCTTATTTTAAGTTTCCAAACAGCCTTTTCTTTTTTTCCAATGTCCAAATCCAGTTCTGCGCCTTGAAGCTTTAGGTGGCTTACCCGTTAAGCCCCACTGGGCAAGAGAAGGATGCATTCCTTCTTTGTCTCCTTCGACCAGCTAGGCAGACTAGACAAGAATGGCAGGAAAACAAAAGCAGGCAGGCAACCCAGTTCGTCCACCAGTATTTTGGGAAACCCATAAGTCCCAGCATGACCAATGGTCCGGGATTTGGGGACTTGCAACCAAACTATCTGGAGGGCACAAAGTGGCCTGTTGGGGAGCATGCAAGGCTGTCTTGCAGAGGTGCATCCTGATCTGGAGTGTCTGCACTTACCAGGAGTGCTTCTCCAGAGTTGCAGACAGGGGACTTAGCCTGGAGACTCAACCCAGGGCCCTGCGCATGAAAAGCACGTCCTCTACAAATAAGCTAGGGCTTTTCCTTGCAGGGCTTCTCTAAGCTCCATACGGCCTAGAAAGAGGGAGAAATAGAGAGGTACATGTGTCTATGTAGTGTACCTTGTCTGTTTCCAGGAAGAGGCTGGGAAACATGCTTGGCAACTACCCCTGCAGAGCACAAAAGTTGACTTCGGGGTGGCCTTCTGCCTTTCGTGCCAGTCAATAAAAGAAAATCTTTAACGTGTGGCCATGAGGGATGATGGGCAGCTGCCTAGATAGTCTCATTCAGTCCTGCTCAGGGACAAAGTGGCTTTGAGCCATTCTATCCAGGCACCTTTTCCTCCATGGCAGCATTTAGGCCAGAACCAGCATCCAAAAGTCATCCAAAAAGGTACATTATCTTACAGGTATGTTCTAAATGGGCTAGAAATAAATTCATAAATGGTCAAGATAGATCAAATGTGCAAAAGGGTATCATTATAATAATCTTTCAGTAAACAGTTTTGAAGTCCTGAATGAATCCCTGCAAAGATTGCCTAAAGCTGTATGCAAAGTAACTGCTCCATAACTTACTGCTTGGTTTATTAACCTGAGACTGTTCTTGATACTCCTGATATAAAGCAAATTAGGGATACTTTCTTTTAAGCCCTTTCCACCTTTGCATGTGTAGCATGTTCAGCTCTTTTTTGGTATTTCTTAGGATGCAAACTTTTTCTGCTATCCTGAGTCATGTGCACCTAGCTAAATATTGCAGAACATCCTCACTGGCCACTTTAGCAGCAAGATCAGTGCAACTGTGTATTTAATACCTGCTGTTAGATTAAATCTTACCAGCTACATTAGCTGTGGTCAAATTCTTGGGGAAAAGGAAGCAACAACCTAATTTTGCAATACCGTTTCCTAAAGGTTTCCTGACAATATTTGGTTTAGTATGGCCGCATGTTTGAAGTGACAGTCTATATGCTAGTATATTTTGATTTGCAACTATACCTCTGATTGTTTTTTATTCTACTCCGTTGGCGCAATCAAAAGAACTTAATATAAATGTGAACTAATAAACAAAGAGAAGGCTCTCACAGACACAGCTGAAAAATCTTGCCGAGCGAACTTGCAAAGCATTCTTTGCACATTACCTAACAAATATGCCAAGCAATGCTGTCGCTCCACATCCTGAGGCCACAAAGAAAGCCTTGCCAGTCTTTATTCAAATGAGCCCTGCGGAAGCTAGGAAGGCATGAGTATGAAGATCCATGTGTGAATAAAGCTTTTGGAACCAACCACAGATTCTTTGCAACTGATTCAGAGAATCCTACAATGCTTTCAAATATTATTGACTGATTTCAGTGAATCTCCAGTGGAAAACATCTGTTTTCTGTGAGAATGAGGGCCAACTTACATCTGATGCAATAGGATCTTCTGCCATTTCTGTTTCAATAGAATGCAGCTGCAAGGGGCTGCTAATCTGATGGAAGCCATGGCTGTATATGGTGTTTTGTTTTGTTTTTTAATTGCTCTTTTCTTTTGTGTCGTTTTCCTACTCAAAATCAACCCCGCACTTCTTGGCCCCAAAGTACTGTACTTTTTCACTAAGGAAGAATAGCAGTATAATTTAGACTGGAAGATATCCCAGTGGGGAGAAAAGAGTAGATCATCCCTTCTTCCTCACCCACTGGCTCCAATCAGTTTGGCTGTTCTCTGCCAATATAGCTGTATTTCATTTAGAAAAGAAAACACTGGGAGATCCAGTCCTGAATCTCTTGTATAGTTTGGCCCTAAATCAGTAGGAAACATCTGTTTGCTAGAATGAAAACAGAGTGATTCAGCCATGGAAGAGCCACTTCACAAGCGATCAACAACATGTGCAGTCACAACAACATGTGCAGGTGACCCTTCAGTTTGGCAAGCTGACACCTAATTCTAAACCATGAATATTTGCTTAATAAGTCAGACCATGCATGAGCAGAATGTGGCCCCTTACTCTCATATCAGTCCCCCTTTTGCATAAGCAGACTAGGCAAGAAGTTGCAAGTTACCACATCCACCCATGACAAGCAAATTGAGAAATATGGTAAATTGTTCCCAAATAGGCCAGAATTATAAGCCAGATTTAAACTGTGGTTTGAAGTTGGATTATGAATACTGGCTTGTGGGCAAATAATTAACATAGTTCTGGATCATGTGTAATGGAAAGCTGCGATTAACTGCAGCTTTCTTATTAGTCTTCCAAACTGGGCAAGGGAAGCAAATGTATCCACATGATGATTGTGCATATTGTGGCTAATTTTATAAGGATATTTGGTTTAGCTTACATGTAAAAACAACCCATGAGTATTCCTGGTAGAAAGCTATAGTTATACTTTTTTCATCAGTGTATTTATTTCATGCATTTTTTCACTGATGAGTCTGCAAGATGGAGTATATGTTTACCATGCCTTTTCCTTTACATGGAATTTGTAATCCATGCAGGGAAAAGTGCAGAGTTTAAAAAGAACTGAGCTATTTATAGTGTAACAGGATTTGAGCACACAAACAAACATGGAAATAACGTATCAAAGGTATAGTTCAGAGCGGTGCCACTTCTGTGTTCTCATTTGATCAGGTGACTTGGAGCCAACAAACACTAGATTTTTAAAATGCAGCTATATCTTGCTTTTTTGAAAATTGCAGGTATGTGACGAGGGCACGCCTTTCATTTAGTATGCAGTATCTGTTGAGGAGAGACTTATCTCTAATACTCTGTCTGAAAATCACTCCCTCCTACCCCACCCTTTCCATGTAGTGTTTTAGGATAAAGATCCCCATTGGCAGGGGAAGGGATTTGTAATCACACATCAACTTGGAAATGAAGAGATAAGCTTCTACTGCATTCATCTCATCCCGCAAGCCCATGATTCAATTTATATATAAAAAGTGGATGTTGCACTATCCGCTAAGTGTAAACTTTAGGTTGGCCTTGGAAAACAAGATTTCCCCACAAAAGCAGATGATCATATAGAGGCACAATACTTTGCCTCATAATTAGGAAGCTGTTGAGATCAAAGACACTCCACATTAGGAATTCACCCCATAACAATGAAACTCACATCCAGGCATTATGATTTAAGCTGCTCCAGCCTTCCTACCTTGGGGAACTGGCTGCACATGTTTTGCTCCTTCGTTGAGCTTGAAATCCAGATAGATACAGCGTCGGTGTACCAGTCTACACCTTGGACTGGAAGGACAATTGCAAGAACAAACAATTAGCTTTCCATAGGAAGATGATGATCTGGAAGCAGAGACACCAACGAAATTCCTCCAGAACAGCAGTGCCTTCTGAGGAAACATTACCTTTTTAATAAGAAGTAACATTAACAGGATATTTGCAGAAATTATTGTGAGATGAACAGCACAATTCTATATATGTCTACTCTGAAATAAGTGCCATTAAGGTCAGTATGAACTCCTTCTAAGTTATGAATAACGGTTCATATCTAACTATACACACCTCACCCCAGACCCTGAGAACTTCTTCAGCACAATGGTAGAGTTCAAAGACATATTTTGCAAACTTTTTCTGAAAACCACAACACCAAACAGTCTCACAATGTTGCAAGGCATCAGGAAAAAAAGCAAATGAAGAACGTATTAAAAACAAGATATTTATATCCAAGATTTGGGAAGAGGAAGTGTTTATTGGGGCAAAGGAAAGCTAAGCTGAGAGGAGAAGCTTTCTGCTGACTCTGGTGCCTTGGTTTCTAAATTCAGCCTACACTGCTATTCGATTCTAACTTTGATGGTGCAGACCCATTGGCACATGCTGACAGGTATAGTTCTACACTGGATAGCATTGGGCTGTGGTGGATGGGATAACACATTAACTGGATTCTCTTCACTGTATGCTGGGCACATAAATGCCTTGAGAATGGAGACAGTGCGTGAGCAATTCCTTTAGGGAAAGTCTGCAGATGGCCCAGTTCCTGTGTCACTTCCTCTGTGACACAGCTGCAGCGACGGGAAAAGCTTGGACCAAAAATGCACAGCCCTTTTGTTTAAACTAGAAGATGGAATAACTGAGCATTGTGGAAGCACTCAGGAAAAAATGTATAAACCCAGAAAAGAAGAATTCTTTATATGGATAGACATCCCTGAATTAACCATGTTTGTTTTTGGTTTGAGTTCATACTCCAGTGCCAAAGACATCCGCACCCCACAGACTTCTGAAGTTCAGCAAACTTGTCGTATTGTGTTACTGCTTTTGGATAAGCTCACTTACAGTGTCTCATGTATGAACATGTGTCTGAGCTTGTATGACAAACACAGCTTTTCTCCTGACTGGTCTCTTTCTGATAACAATCCATGAGGATTTGGCCAGCATTCAGAGCTTGTTCTCTGACAAAGATTTGCTTTACTGTCCTTTGAAAACATGTGTTAAACTTAAATAGGATGAAAAGGCATAGAGTAAAGAAAGGAAGTTGTCGCATGTGCAGCAGCTGTGAAAAAGCAAATCCTGCCCTACATATTATTAGGAAATGAAACAAGACTAGAACTGCCAGCATTATAATACACTTCTGGCAGCCCTCTTCAACCAGATGGTTTTGACTATGACTTCCTTAATCCCTGATAATTGCCTATGGTAGCTGGGGCTGATAGGAATTGTAGTCCAAAACAGATGAAGGGTGCCTATGGGTCATAAGCATCATCAGTGCGTTTGGATTCTGCTTTTTCTCAGTAACCTATGCTCCATGTGGCTTACGACAGCACCAGAAGAGTTTACATAACACAACATTTCAAGGCAGTTCACTAACAGTAACAAGCTGTAACAAAATTGATAGAGTTGTAAACCATCAATAGGCAATCAAAACATCACCATATAAAATCAAATATCAAATATAAAAGTTCAACAGCCCACTGATAATTCATACGAAGGCCTAGCAGGACAAATACAGAAACATTTTCCAAAATAGCATAAAAAGACTTCTTATCTAAAGTGCCCTTCCCCTACACAAGAGCCCCGAAAAGGGTCTTGTGTATCCTGAGGGTCTCTAGGCAACTTTAGCACAACTTCAGCAATGCCTTCAGATATAGGGCCACCTCCTGCAGCCCTCTAGAGAGAGAACATGTGGACCACCTGCATCATTCCTGCTGGCTTGACCTGGGGCTGGCTAGGTTGCATTTTGAATAGCAAGGCTTCCTGTTCTTGTCACCTGGAGTCACAAAGTGCATTGCAGAGCTCAGAGGAGTGGAGGGGTGACATGAGCAGACAACATGCTCAGTAGTCCTGGAACACCCTTCCTACTCCCTCATAGTACTAGAACTTTATGGGTTCATCCATTGAAGCCACCGGTAGGAGATTCGTGACAGTAAAATAACAACAACAGAAAAACCCAACCCTTTTTCATACAATATTTAATTATCTTACAGAATTTGCTGCTATGGCATGTGATGGCTGCAGAAGAAACCTACAGAAACATATGGAAGACAGGGACTTTACCACTACTAATTCTGATTCTTTCAAATTTCTTCTTTTATCTGCAGAACAACAAACTAGCCAACAATCTCCCAATGTGAATTATTGAAGCACCATCGTATGTGCATGTCAGTCCCACCTAGGAATGTCTGGAAAACAGGAATTTTCTCTAAAAAGATTATTGTTACAAAGTGCGGAGATGGCTTCTTTTCTGTTCTGATCTTCTGTCATTGCAAGTGTTTTAGTAACATGATTCCCAAAACCCAACACTGATTTCATTACACTCAGTAGGGACACTGGGGATTTATTTAAGCAAGCGTAATAACCTCTAACCCCTGGAGAGAATAACCTCTAACCCCTGGAGAGCCCATTCAGGAGAGAACTATGGTTCATTCTCAGGCCAGCGGGAAAGATATTTCAGGCAGTTGGGTCAGCATTTTTACGAAGTATGTAAACAATGCCAATGGAAAATCCAAACACAACATCAAACTCTAGATGCCTCTCTGTTTTACAATATGCTTATGGATTTTGATTTCCATGTGATTCATATGAATAAGATGCACCTATTAGTAAAAGCAGTTTTGCACGACAAATTTCTTACTTAGCTCTCACTTCTGTGCCAAAGAATTTCAACAATTTGGATTCTGGGCCCATAAAACTTCATGCCTGCATGCCTAAACCAAGAGGGAGGGAGAGGGACAGAGAATATCTATGGGTAGTGATCCAAAGAGGGAGAAAAGGAATAGATGGAGATGGGGAGATAAAAGGAATTTGTATTACACAAACAGACTTCTGCAGGTGCTGAAAACTAGAGGTTCAAAGGAGTTATTTAGGCTCAGACTCCACTTCTGCCATGTATACACTCATTGGAGCAGCTTGCTTGTCCTTTGTGGCTGTCTACATTTTGTGGTGCTGCCCACGACAGTTTCTGAAATTGCTGAATCTGCCCACAATCCAAAAAGAGTGCCAACCCCTGTCCTAAAAGCACCACATTAGAAGGTCATCATTACATTTCTTCAGTAATGATTGTTCTGGGCTATTCTAAAATAGGCACATGTGTGCCAGTGCGCTCACACAATAGCATACTGTCCACCTAGACCTAACTGTAAGCCACATGCATCAGATCTGGTTTGTCTTTTCATAAAAAGGGAATCATTATTTGCACAAGAATAGCACAAATAGGAATATCAGTTCCTCCCAGCATGAAATACCAAATTGTGGTGTGTCTTGTACTCCAGATCCATGTACAAATCATAACCCTGGCGAAGAAAAGAACCACAAGCAAAAATGCATCAAAAAGTAGCAATACAGCACACTGAACCAGTATTTCCGGGAAAGAAAACATTAAATTTAAAAAAGTTTCTTAAGAACAGTCTATGGAAATATCTGAAGACACATGTTGAAAGAATTTATTACTACTTTGGTATGCGAGTCCCACTTTGGCTCATCTTGCATACGTTACTTTTTTCAGTTATCCATGGCAATAAACCACCAATATTAAAATGGTTCAACTGGTTGGCTTCAAAACGAATAAGAGAATTTATGCTAAGCTTGATGACATTTTCCTATGCTGTACAGGTATTAGAAAGGGCAGGGACCTCCTATGGGTATGAACTCAATTTCATTAGGTCATATATCTTCCATGAGGCTCTGATTTCTCCTCATAACAACCAACATATTTGCCAGTGAAATTCAAGGGAGGGATTTTCGAAGGTGATAAAATTAAAAGACGTGTAATTTGAAAAAGCTCAGAAAAGTATGCAATATTAAATCATTCTTTTGTGTTCATCAAGACCCATCACTGCAATGGCAGACATGCCCCATTGCTGAATACGTGCATGTGGTTAGGATCAGTGATGTACCAATGGCTGGGCATGATTAAAAGCTCGCTTGCTAATATTGTTTTGGGCTGCAGCGTCTGCCTTATGGCCCCAGTTTTATGTGCTTATGATGCAATGTTTCTGGAGTGCCAATGCCACATGGCATTTTTTAACAGTATGCTGAGGTAGTCCTTGGTATATCTCAACAGAGGTGTCTGTACCAGGTATGCACAACTAGGTAGCCAAGCAAGCCAGATGCAGCTCTTTGGCTACCGTTCTGCTGCCGTCCTGCCTGGGATGGCAGAAGACAGTGAAAACAAAGCACACCCGCTCACCGGGCACAAGGGTTGTCAGGACTCTGGCGGATGACCATGCAGGACTGAGCTGTGCGAAACATTATGCATTGCATAACATGGACACCCGGAAAATGCTGCAAACAGTGTTGTATACCCCATGGCATGCAGGAGGTATAAAAAGTATAAAATTTTATTTATGCCTGATTTATATGAAGCTTTATATAGGAACCTTTACAAACTACACAAAGTTTGCTACAGCTATATTTTTTTCTGTATTCCACCTTTCAAAGCGTTATTCCTTTTACAAGGAATATTACTGTTCACAGATAATTGAATACTATCCAAGACATTCAACCAACTTGCTGGCTCTCTCTGTGCTTTTTGCACACATAGCTATCAAAGCCATTTTCCAGAATTCATTGCTTCTGGACATGCCCATTGATGTCTTTAGCCAAGCACTGATAACAGCATTGACCAGTCTGAGTATTCAGACATTTTCCTTCCACTAAATGAAGTATTTGGTGCCTCTCTTCATCTGGAGCTCGACGTGAAGTCCCAGAACAACTGTGTTTACCCAATCCGATCATCCAATTGTCCAACAGTTACTGACAAGTTTTAAAAAGGATAAGTATGAGAATACCAGTATGAGAATACCATTATGAAACTTGAGTTCTTTCACTTGGAAGATGTTCAGCAGTACAAATTATATATATCAACAACAATAAAGTTCTTCTCTGTCCTGTCATGTCTTCTACAGAAATTATGTCAAGCAATTCAGAAAGTGTGCTGCTTATCCTTATCCTTACCATAAATAAGTAGTAGTAAGTTTATCGTATTTAGCCATAGGCCATTACAAATAGGCAAAGCAAAGCAACGGATTAACAAATAAAACCATAAATCAGTTGTAGTAAAACATAATACTAAAAAAAGAGACCGGTCATAAATCAAAGCCCCCTTCAAAGCTTCCCTAGTTCTTATCTTTTTAGCTGACAGGGCAAAAAGAGAAACTCTGTAAGCCACATATGCTTCAGCATCTGATAGTAAGAGCACTAATTTATCAGAATAAGCATTAAAGGTGGGTAGCATGCTAGTCAAATTTTTTTACCTGTGTTCACATTATAAAGGTCAGTGAACGATATAATGCAAGAGGTTCTCCACTTAAGTGATCCACAGATACAGACATGCTGCTCCATTGGGATATGAGAATAAAGACCAGATAAGAGGGCTGTATACATAGTTTGGAAATGGAGGGCTGTAAAGGCAACCCTAAGACTATAATTAGAGACACTAGCTAAATAATTAGATCTGAAATGGTCATGTTTAAATAATTTAAACCAAGGAGCAGCCTTGGAATTCAGACGTGAAGTTGGATGATTAGGGCATCTGAGTGATATATCCAGTCCCTAAGATGGGAATTAACAACTGTAGCCCCTAGAAGATGGTTGGGGATGGAATATCTATCAATGATGAATTTAAAAACCTGGGTCATTTAGGGTCTTTCGATAATAACAAATTCAATGATTTACACCCTAATGAATTGAAGCTGGGGGAGCTGTTCCTGTTCCGATACTTTTTTACAGCAAGATGTGCATGAGCCCTAAGAGAAGGGAAGATCTTAATATAAGCTATGCTAAGACCAAAGTAACGGTCTTTGGGAAAAAACCCAGAACTTCATTTTGGCACATCCTTGGTAATCCAATAAAGCAACGTTGCTTTTTTAAATACCTAGGGGGTCACTTTTAGGGATGCCCTAAATTGGAAACTCCATCTGGAAATTGTCAAAACCTCAGCATTTAGGATTATACGGTCTATCTTGCCCTTTTTTACGCTAAGGGTGGGTGCCTGATAGATCCTGCATTTAAGTTATTTAAGACCAAGGTTGTTTCCCACCTCTTATATGGAATTGAAGTATGGGGATGAAGTGAGGATATACTATCTCATCTGGATGTAATTCAAACATTTACCAGAAATAAGATTAGAATAATAAAATTGGTACTTTCCTCCTAGACATTATAGACATGACTCTGGTTTAGACACTGCGGTCATGAACACATTTGGACTGACTTTATGGAGTTCAGACAGCACAGAGAGATTAACATCTAAAAATCCTGGAGAGGGGGGAAAACCACACCCACACTAGAGTGGACAGTCATTTTAAAATAGACACAGCTAAACAAGAAAGGACATGGAAAGTGCCGCACTTACGGAATTCTCTTTTATTGGCGATCCACCAGGCATCTTCTCTTGTAGATGCCGGTTGAAAACATATCTTTTCCATTACTATTTTGAAGAGTAAAGTTACTTGGTTTTACTGGTTCTTATATTGCTTTGATCCTGATACTGCCATGTTATTAATTTTAGCTGCCAGACATTTTTTCTTTATTTACAGTTTTTTTCTATTCTATTATTTATTTAAAAGGATGTTTTAATTGCTTTTATTACTGGAATATTTGACCCCCTTTTATTGCTTTTATTGTTCTTCTTTGTATTTGTTTTATTATGCAATGTTCAAATGCATTAACTGTATTGCTTTATTTGTTGCCATAAAATGTTCTGTGAGCCCCACCCAGAGAGCCTTAAGGCTAAGGGGTGCTACATACAAGTCTAATAAAGGATGATGATGATGATGATGATGATGATGATGATGATGGATGACTTTCACAAGGCATCATAAAACACTTCAAAGATATACTTTAATTTCTTAGAATCTTCTACTTGGCTGAATCGGCGATGACCCATCTGGAATCAGTCAGACTTCTCAACACTTTTCCATATCTTACATCATGTTTTGGATTTGCAACATGCTCTGTGCGGACCTACCCTAAAAGGTTTCAACAAGCTTCAAATGAAGCAAAATGCAGAAGCTGGACTGCTAACCAATATGGTAATGGTAACTGGACCATATTACACCAGTCCTGAAAGACTGAACCAACTTGCTAGTTGATTTCTGGATCCAATTTAATGTGTTGGTTCTAACTTTTAAAGCTTTATTTACAGGCATCTTGCTATCAAGGGGCCACTAGCCTGCTGTGAACCTATTTAGGTATTAAGAACTGCAAGAACGGCCCTTTTGAGGCTGCCATTACCTGCATAGGCAAGTTTGTCAGACACATGTGAAAGAGCTCTCTTCTGTATTACTCTGCATTGAACACATTTCTTCAAGAACTCTTATTATTTTTACACTACATTTATGGCCCACCTTTCTTCTTCTTACAAGGAACTCGGAGTGGCTTATAAGGTTCTCCTCTGCATTTTAACCTCACAACAACAACCCTATGAAGTAGGCTAGACTAAAAGTCAGTGACTGGTCCAAAGTTACTGAGTGAGATTCAGGGCCAAGTGGGGACTAGACCCTGCAACTCCCAAATCTCAGTCCAGTGCTTTGCTCCCACTGGCCCCGCAGCTGACCTTGTCCTTTTTGGCTCTTGGAATGGGTGAAAAGATATTTTCAATCCAGACATTTCAATTTAAAATGTGTCAATTTAGCAGCTTTTAAATAGCTACTTCTAATGTTCTTGCTCTTACTGTTTTAAGGTTTTATTGCTTAAAACTGTGGTCCATGGCTTTATAGCAGATAAGGTAACATGAAGGAAGGAAGGAAGGAAGGAAGGAAGGAAGGAAGGAAGGAAGGAAGGAAGGAAAGTAGAAAGAATTCTTGTTTGACAATATTCTCATGAGGAGTCTCAATAAATGCCAGAGTGGGAATAAAAGTCAAGTCCTTTATGTTGGGAATGGGCTAGGCAGGAATGTCCGGGTAAGGCAATCCGCCTGCCTCCACATGGGTAAAACGGCTCTGTTAATAAAACAAAGAAGTGGAATGTAGAGTCAGAGTACGAAGGTCAGGGTTCAGCTTGGAAAGTGTGGGGTGGGCTTAAATATTCTGTGTGGGGCCAGCTGGAACAAGCTTAGCCAGCCGTGCTGCTTGTTTTTCCTTATGGAACCTTTTCTAATTAGAACTGGATGCCGGTTCCTTGCTAGAACAAAGACAGCCGGCTTCCTTTGCATGCCACATTCCAGTTCATCACCAAGGCATGCCCGTTATATAGGACAAGCTGTGCTCAGATATTTTATGTACTTCAGGAATGGAGTGCAACAAGTAAGCGTACAAACTAACTGACAAAATGCTTGCTTCTAATGCCAAGATTGCAACCTTTGATAGCCTCCCCAGTAAAGCTCTTGCTCCTTTCCCCACTTGCCTTAAATGCAAACCAAGAATTGACTACAGGAAGATTTAACTAACGTTTCCTGAAAGGCAAAGTATTATTATAGAACTAGCAAGATTTACACAGTCTGAAGAGCAACCAGAACATAGTGGTAATGAAGATGATGATAATTTATTCATCTCGTGACAAACCTTAAGCAGCAGAAGCAATTTATGGCAAGATAAATAAAGGGATAATGTCCTCTGCTATTAAAGTCTCCTAAAGCAATTGCTCCACGTTCATATTCTTATAAATTACAGCTGTAGGCTGATTGGGTGCGTGAGTTTTGCCCTTGTCTGGCCCTGGAGATTATGTAATTAACTCGCAGAAAGACAGCCAGCTGTATCAGTGAACGGGTTCTAGGCATGTCTGGCAAACGTATCTGGTAGAACATGGTAGCAGAGAGAGGAGGACCTGGAAGGGCTTCCACTCCCCATCCCATGTGCCACCAGAAGGACTTGCAGGGAAAGCAAGCAGAGTGGATTCGTTCTCCAGTGCCATACAAAGGCACATACATGCAAGGCGCGGCACAGGAAGTGACTGCAAAATCTTGCTGCCCCTTGTTATGGAAGGAGCAGCACAAAATAGCACACAAGGCTTAAAAGCAAAGGTGCAAGACTTTTCAAGATCAGGAGGCCATGGGTAAGAACACTGGCAGATATGCCAAGAGCCACTCCTGTCAGGCCAATGAATAACTAGCACAATCATTGTTCGCCTGTCAGGAAATGAGTTACCTTGACAGCCAGCGACTCTCCTGAAATCACGGACACTGTCACACCATTTTGTGATGGTTTGGGTATCTCTGCACTTTTCAGCTCTTGGTACTGAGGTTCAACCATTTTCTCAGAGCTTCTCAAATTGACCCAGAGCTGCAGGCCATGGGCTGGCTCTTGGGAGCAGGGCATCTCTGCGTGGAGAATCCCACGGCCAGCCGTCATCTACTGGAAGCAAGAGGGCACAGGAACAGATGCAGAGGATCACAAGGTATTATTTTTTAGAAGCCAGCTTCAGGTATAAACCAGAATTCCACGCCCCCATCCCAAATGTGTGTGTGCACACATGTACCATCATTTAGCGGTTCTGAGTTGTTCAATATAAGCTGACAACTTTGTCTAGAATTAAATTATTTTCAAGTTTAGTAGATTGCAAGAAGGCATATGGGTGATCATTTGTTTATTTCATGAGTTTTAATCAGTTAGGAATGATAATTCCTACTAGAGCATGGTATAAGGGAAATTTATCTGGAATGTAAACATCCTAAACTCTGAAGCTATTGTTTCAAAATATGATATCACTGATGTATCCTCCAATAGTAGCCCCCTTTCTTTGCAGTTCCAGAGCATAAACTACTAAGCTGGATTTGCTTTAAAAAGACTATTTGCCCCTTTATCTCTGACTGCTGTTAAGATGGCCAAATCCAGCCAAAAGATGACTGAGGTCTTATCCTGCAACAGGTTTAAGCCATGCTGCAATTTGTCCTGGAACAGTAAAAATAGCAGTATCTGCCAAAACCTCCTCCCCTGCAAACTATTTCAAAGCCCTTCACTGCCCCAACCTCTCCGGTCTGCCCACTTCACCCTCCTCCTTACAAAGAAACAAATCAACTCACCTTGCAATCTGTCTTAGGCTATGGGGCAGCCTAAGATCCACCGATCCACCGCGGATTAACGTTTCATCTTTTGTTCCCAGATGCTATTGGATTACAACTCTCAGTATTCCATCCAGTTAAGTCACTTGAACACTCAGAACCATTGGGTGGGTGAAGATTTTTTCTGCCGTTTACCATAGAATGACCTTTTTCCAGGAGGTCACTGGGCAGCTCATATACACAGATATATCACAATAGCCATTTTCAAAAAGTCTAGGATAAGCAGGATTTTTCTAGCTAGCTCTTCCCTTCCGCTCACCGCAAACACGTTACTAGCTGCTAGATCTCACTGGGGTGGCCCGTTTTCTTAACCCTAACCCTAACCTGAGCCGTGCTGAGCACCTGTAAGCCGTCCTGAGTGCTTGGCGAAAGGACAGGATATAAATGCCTGTGATAAATAAATAAATAAATAAATAAATAAATAAATAAATAAATAACCTCTGTCTTAACCCAAACCCTACAATGAAGCTGGCATGCACTAGGTTGTCTCCTCCACCCTGTCTGTGAATAGCAGCATAAAACCTTCATGTATTTATGCGATTCTTGTGTATCACAGCACCACCTTGTGGCTATGTAATAGAACATATAGAAAAGTAATAAAAGAAAGGGTTTGAGGAAAAAATGTGTGAAGGAGCTGATCCCACACAGAATCTAGAAAGAGAAGCTTTGGTAAATTGTCAGATTAGGTGCCTTATGTGGAAAGGTCCTTGGCCATACTTCCTTCATTGACTCAATGAAATTACTGCGACTTAAACCTTGGACTCTACTATGATTAGAAACATAGAAACAGAGCGAGTCAGAAGGGGCCTCCTGAGCCATCTAGTCTGACCCCCGCCTCCAGCCAGCTTTGCTCACAACATGCCTGCCATGTGCATGCCCAGCCTATCTTTAAACACCCTCACCGATGGGGCCTCAACCACCTCTCGTGGAAGCCCATTCCATACCCTCGGGATCCTAACTGTCAGGAAGTGCTTCCTGGCATCTAAATGGAACCTTGGTTCTCTGAGCTTTGCTCCACTGGGGCGTGTCCTGTCCTCCTGTGCAGGGGAGAACAGGTCTCTACCCATCTCCGTGTGATACCCCCTCACATTAGGATTACCTCTGGATCCAAACCACAAGATTTGGTGGGGGGAAGGTGGCATAATCAAATTACTTGTTCACAAATAACGACTCCAATATTTTTGAAAGAGTTCCAAGTCTGCAGGTCATGAAATAACAGTGGTATAAAAATGCAGAGTATGACATTCAGAAAGGCCGGGTGGCAACAATCAAGTCACCATCTGCTTTATGAACTACTGCTCTCTTGACAGCTGAGCACTTTGTACACCTGCAAACCCAGTCCTTAAAATAATGAAAAGACACCAGGCAAAATGCTATAACTCAGCACTGCCAGGAATACTGAATGAACAAATGGTCTCGATGCTAAAGAAGCAGCCTGAAGAACTTCTTGCTTCATTCAAGAGCTTGGCTGAGGGAAGGAAGCACAACCACAATAAAGATGTTTGAGAAATTAGTTAATTCATTTGTTGGTCCATATTACTGAAGGTCATATTTGAAGCACTAAAGCAGCCTTTCCTAACATAATATTTTGAGCTCCCATCAGCTCTATCTAATATGGCTGATGGTCAAGAATTCTGAGTTTTATAGTCCAAAAATGCATCAGGGCACCAAACTGGAGAAGCTTCCGCTAGAATATCCAGTGTCAGCCTTGAAGCTTTTAACAAGCAACAAAAACAAACCCAGGTCATTTAAATACTGTAAAGATTTAGAAGTACTTTGTGAAGGGACACTGAGTAACTCCAGAAGCTTAATTCATCTGTCAGCCTGCAAAAACAACAATCTCAGGAAGAGATGAACAAAGAGCTGGCTGTCCATAAAACATTCCTTAATTCAATAATGGAACAAACCATTAAAGCAGAGGGTCAACTAAATTAGTACTAGGAGTCCCCTTGCCCTCAGGGAAATTGTATTTCTGAGATGGGTTTTATAACCTAGTTATAGCTAAAGTCTGAAAATCCTAGTGTGTGAAAATCCTATTCACAAATGGGGATCAGGGGTCAACAGTGTTTCCAGCTTACATCCCTTCACAGTACACTGAACCCCAAACTTCAAGAGCATAAAGGACTGCAGTGGCAAAGGGGGAAGGCAGTTCAGAGATGCCACAGGTACTAGCTCCAAGAAGAAAATGTCCCTGGGGGAAAGGACAATGAGCTGAATAAGGGTTTTGGCTGCCTGGACAGCACCCAGTATCACAGTATCACTGAAATGCACAGCTTGTTTTTCTTCTTGTTAATAACACATATTATTTATACCTCGCCTTCCTTCTTCTTGTAAGTAGCTATAAGCTTCTCCATTTTCTCCTCATGACAGCAACCCTGTGAAGTGGTTTGGTCTGAGACTCAACAACTGGCCCAAAGTCACTCAATGGCTGAGCACAGACTAAAACCCAGATCTCCTGCGTCCCGCTCCAACCACTCAATTACTGCACCACAGTGGCTTTCACACAATTACATGAAAGCTCTACATATAACAGGCGGACATCAATGCTATGCCTTAATACTGCAGTTAAATGCACTTATTTTTGTCAAGCTGAGAATATGAAGCCCACTACACTACCCTCTAATACAAATAAGATTTTTCTTTGTCAAATGAGAACTAAGTGCTGCAAATCTCAGAAAAATACAACTTCACAACAAGAAATGGTAATCAAGTAAATACATATTAGGCATCATGCTGATAGTAAACCACTTTCAAGTCCTCTAGATTTTAAAGAGCTTGATTATTTTACGCTGTGCAGCTATCATATAAACTAAAAGTGACAGAAAACTACAAAATGTTAAGCAACATTTAAGGCACGAATGAGTAACACACACACTCAGCTGATTTTGTACATTCCTGTCCCACCACTAGTTTGCCACCGAAGCATCCAAGGAGTGCACGTTTGCTCCCACCGGCATTGTTTTAAGGAAAAATGGGATGCTTCTTTCCTCACCACAAAACTTCAAAGACAAATCTGGTGGAGTGGGAACCCTCCTGGGTTCCAAGAGGAGTAGAATTGATCCACAGTGACCCATAATTTGCCTCCCACCCCCATGTAAGAAAACAAAGAGTGCACTTTAAAGACCAAAGTACACAATTCTTGTAAAAAACAGATACTGCATCCTGTCACCCTCAAAAATTAAGTTGGCATATATTTCTACCTAATATGCCATTAACTTCACATGAAAATAATGGGATTTTAGTATGTGCACAGAATTACAACTCTCATTTTACATTAACAGTGTTTTAAAATAAGGCTGTAGCTCTATGCATACTCTTAGGTCTTGCGGCACAATGACTGCACAAAGCCGCCACAATTACTGATATTACAGGAATGAATCCCTGACCACTAAAGTTAATGGGAAGCAATTCTAAATTTGCAACACCAACGCCCCACAGTAGAGAAGATCACCAGTGGGCTTTTCCTAAGAGGTCTTTTTGCCCGGCAGCAAGTCAGTCTTACCCCAACTGTTGCTGAGCAATGCCACCTGCTGGCACATGAAGGAACTGTTCCAGAGAGACAGAGAGCTTGCCATGTTGGTCAGTTACAGTAAGTCTGTAAGGAAATAGAACCATATAGCATCTTAGGGCTCAATCCAATGTATGATTGGATAGAGAAAACTCCTGCAGTTCCTATGATGGCAAGGGAATATGGGAGTTGAGGCCTTTCCCCCCTTCTATGCATGCATAGGATTGCATCCTTAAAGATGAACAGATGTTTTTGTGATACATCCTTTTCTGGAGTCTGTTCCAGAACTTCTTGCCACACTTAAGCTTTTAATCTTTAAGGTCTCATAAGCCTCTTTTTTCTGATCTTAGTATATGTAACGAAGATACCAGAGAGCAAGTCAAACTACTAACTCTATAATGAACCTCACTTTATGAAGTCATTTGCCAATTGAGATCTACTCACCCTTGCTGCCCATTCCTTCCATATGACAGATTTATACTGCCAATCAAGTATGAAGAAGATTCCACCATTGCTGCCATCTCAACCATGGTTTCAGAACCTTATTTATCCAGCCTCTAAATGAGGAATTTTTATAAAATTGCTGACTTATATATGCTTCTACTATCCGTCATCATAGTTTATTTATGCTTATGTTCTTTTCTTCTCTTAGCATAAACTAAAAGCATTGAAACACATTAATGAAATAAAGTGATTCTCCAGCCTCCTTTTCTAAATCACTGCTCATCAAACCATTTATACATGACTGAATTTACTGGAGGACTGAAGGGACCTAGATCATTATTTACCACAACTGATCCTGTCTGGGAGAGCTGAAGTAGCAGAGCAGTTGTCTGTGAGAGGAAACATTAAGAAAGATTTCAGGCATGTCAGAGGATTTGGGAACATAAGCAGGAGACAGGAAATGCAGGGAACCACTTCCGGACCAAGTTAACCCTTTTTTCTTGTGCTGGAATTGAAAATTACAAACATTTCAGAGCTGTGTCCAGAAAATCCCTCTGAGTACTCTACATTATTACTGGCCTGCATCCCTTACTAGTTTCTAATTTTGACACAGTTCTATACGTGTTTGGAGCACAGAAAGGCCAGCATACACCAACCCATAAGACTGTGCTTTTCATCTCTTAAATCAGAGCAAATATCCTTCTTTAAAACACTAAAAGCTACTGAGACAGAGTAACAGTGTTCCCCCCTTATCAGGAAGAGTTCTTTAGCTCACACTGCCCTTGCTTCATCAAAAGCTCTGAATGACCTCTCCCAGTCCCCCCTTGTTCCCAAGCGCTCTTTGCTGTTGCACTGAAATGGCTCTCATTCATGCTTCCTTTATGGCGTTCCTATTCTGGTCCAGTCCTCTGCAGTGGGAGCGCCTGGCAGCTGGGCAACCATGCCTACTCTTGACTCTGCTCTTCAGAGTGTGTTAATGCTATATTTGACACTGATGAAAAGAATCAGTAAAAAGAGATTGCATTTTCTGGAAAAGTCAAAGGACTTGAAAATATGCTTTAAAAAAATATGCGCACATATCCATCTGTGCAAGAAAGAGGAGAGAATGGCAAGCCAACCATCTTGCCTTGAGCAAGAGCTACTTATCACTAGGTATTCAACACACTACCAGTGACGGGTATTATCACTAAAATCCTAGATGTAAACAAGGTTAGCTTAATATGGATTACTTACTGTTTCAAAACCTCTGTGAGGGTGATCAGGAAAGCCAGCTGGTTTGCCTCCTTTGAATTCATCAAGCAGTAGAAATGGATCCAGATTTTTCAACTGGAAGATTTCATATAAATTGCATTTTATATGCTTGAGATTTGCCCACTTGCTGGGGGCAACTGAGCTTTTAACCACGCTGGAAAAACATTTCAAGCAAGCCTTTTACAACTAAAATAGCCTCTCCATTTTTATAATATTTCATTTTTACTGTTGTAACGGCATCAGAAATTTATTTTACTTCAGTTGTAACCAGTGTTTAAAACCCTAGAAAAATAGACTTTAAATCTGCCAAAACCAAAGCAAACAAAAGATGTCCACTCCCAGTTCTTTCTGCATCAGTACTCCTGTAGTGGATTGACACTATATTAAGGCGCAAAAATGGGCAGAATATTAGGCAGATCAGGACTGCAAAGAGGCTTAGGGTACAAGCATGTGCATGTTTGGACAGATAATGTCCTATAGCTCCCAGCATGTCCTGGCCAGCTTGGATGAGACAGCATGATGGGCCATGTATTCCACCCCCCATCTAAACATTCAAAGGATTGCCCTTTTAATTGGCATAATGGAGTTGCTCAGACCAGTCCACCCCTCTTACCACTGTAATGCCTGAAAGGATTCCCAGAGTCAATGGACCGTGCCAGACCAGCACACCCAACACCTCCCTCTCCAGTCCCAGCTTGTGTGTGTGTGGGGGGGGGGGGGCGCCCACGAGCATCTGCAGGCACTCAAAAGCACCAGCCCACACACAGGCTCCAGCCAGAGGACACCCTGCCTCAGCCTACCAACCAAAATTCCTGCCTATTGGCCTGGCTGCCTGGGGCTGATGGGAGTTAAAGTCCAAAACATCTGGAAGGCATGGAATCAGGAAGGCTGCCCTACCTCATCCATCAAGGTGAAGCGGCAGGTGTGCAAGGTCTGGCTTTCATCATGGCCACACTCTCAATTCAAGCCGAAACAGCAGGAATTCTTGCATTCTTGCAATTCTTGCCATATCAGCAAATCAACTCTAGCAGTTTTCATCTGCTGGGAACCAGTTGCTTGTAGAGCTAACAGGGCCTTACTCAAGAACGGGCATTACAAACTATTTCACATTACAAGAAGGAACAGTATACTGTTGCGGGAAAGATCCCTTCCCAGTTACGCAGAGCGTTGCAACTAAATTCAGGGAAAGTGGTGGCAGGCAACAGCAGTATCACTGCTGATTCAGAAGTGATGGCACCGTACCCCTCTTTTAAAACTACCAGTGGAGAGGCTGCAGGTACATCTAGGTCACAATCTCTGCACATCCACAATACAGCATTCTACTCGGATGGTTGGGGATGATGGGGCCTGTAGTCCAACACATCTGGCGTGCACCAGGCTGGGGAGGAGGGCTGCTTTTCGTGTGTCACCAGGGAAGCAAGCAGAGGCAGCCGGGCTTACCTCGGGCCGGCCGATACTCCTCCGCACGCGAGCCCCGACTCCTTGCGCCTGCTCCTTACTGAGCACGGTTTTGACAACCTTCCTCTCCGCGGCCATGCTTTCCTGGGCAGAGGAGATGCAAATCCTAGAGACCTGCCAAAATCAACAGGCTCGTTTTAAACGGCGGCAACGACATCGCTTTGCATTTAAAAAGCAAAGGAATAAGCGAGCAACCGCATATTCCTTCAGCAGCCAACCCATGAAGCAATTGCTAATGGAAGGGAAGACTTGAAAAAGAAAGCCAGAGAGAGAGAGAGAGAGAGAGAGAGAGAGAGAGAGAGAGA